TTATTATTATTTGTCCTCAGATGAGTCCCACCGTTCAGTACACTGTAGCGGAGAACAACACAACCACAATCATCAGCGGTGCTGCAGTGCGCATCCACACAGGATTGACACTGCTGTCAACATTAGCATTGGCATTCTTCTGTACAATGGGGGCAATGCTGCTGTTAATCTCTGTGTTGGGTACAGGAGATGAAGATAGAGTTGTGGTTGGTGCTTCTGTGGTATTGTCCTCGGGGCTTGGCTGAGTAGTGGAAGTGTTTTCTTCTGTTTCCGTTTTCGCACCCTCACCCATGTCTGCACCAGAACCACTGGTATCTGTACTCTCGTTAGTGGCAGTAGTTTCTTGTGAGTCTGCAGCAGAAATAGAATTAGGTGCAGTCGTACCTGATGCTTGAGAAGGGTTACTGCTGTCCGGAGAGTCAGTTGAGACACCAAGTGAAACATTATCAGTTGTCGATGTACTCCCTTCTGTTACTTGATTTTCTGTGCTCGAAGAATCATTAATCGTAGCACCTTGTGAAGAAGAGGTCCTCCCTGCAGCCTCACTTCCATCTGGTAAACTCCCAGTATTCCTACCAGCGTCTTGAGCAGGATCACTCGTTGGACCCTTGTTATTTTGTTGATCTATTGTTGAAGAGTGCACTGCACTTTCTCCAGGACCAAGGGAATCACCGGCAAGATCTTGAGAATGGTTGTCCCCAACACCCATACCAGATACTTCAGGGCGATGAGCCACTGTGGTGGGAAGGGTCACCTCTGATTCATCTCTACCACTTTCTCCAAAACCACCTACTTTCAGCTGAGCTTCACCACTATGACCTGCTAGGGTGGGTTGCGTCAACTCTGTTACAGTATCACGTTCGTTTTCTGCACGATTAACTAATTGCTGCTGAGCTCCACCACTATGATCTTCCGAACCGCCTCCAGTTTTACGTTTGGCATAAAAACCATCCCCGTATTCTTCAAAAACACTTTCAACACTCATATTACCTTCACCACCTGCTATCGCCATCACCGCCTTTGGCTGTCCAGCATTAACAGTAGTCCTTGTTGTTTGTGTTGTGGTTGCTGCTCTTGCGGTACGCTGGCGGCAGAGGTCTGCGTACTTCCCACATGCAGACACACGGCTGCCCGCACCGCATGTAAGCCACTCGCTCTCAGCAGCGG